TTTTACTTTTTTCTTACTGATTTTACTATTTTTATAGTTTCGTTAACTTGAGTTATAAATTTCTTTCCATAGTAGTATCAGCACAAAATTTCTTTCTGATTAGCATGAATTGCATCGTATTCAGCATCAGTCATTTTATCGAATAATTGAGCTAAAGTAAGTAGTGGTACTGTAGAAAAAATTTGGCTTTATTATAATAATATATCGTTAGAAGAACTAAGAATACATTTTTGAGACTGTGAATCATTTTGAATACCATCAGATATCATTTGAAAAATATTTTCTGCACCTTTTTTCCTATGACTATTTTTTGGTAGGGGCGCTCCAGCTGAAATTTTAGTCACAGGATTTAACACTTCTAATATGATCCTTTCAGAATTGCAAGTATCAGATTTTTAAGTTTCTTCTTCTTTTCTTCTTATTACGTTGCTTTATTTCATTACTAATGATTTTCTTATCTGCCTCAACCAAGAAATTATCCATCTCTTTCTCTTTCAACAATTTGCTATTAAGGCGTTTCGCAGAGTTAGTAGGTACTGTTATCGCCTCTGGTACTGCAACTGAATTGAAGCTAGGTAAATTGTTGTTAGAAGAATTATGCAAAATGCCTCTCAGCTCATTTAGAGTCTGCTTCTGTTTCACTTTTGTGATTCTATCTCTAAACTCAGATTCTAACTCCTTGATTCTAGCCTTGAGTTTAACTTTTTCAGCATCATGCATCTTATTATATTCCCTATTCGCTCTTAGAACTTCAGCATTCCTAAGCTTAAGTTTAGCTATTTCAGCATCAGACACTGAGAGCTTGTTTCTAAGATAGAGATCTCAGTATTCTCCTTCCTAAGCTCTGTATTCTCAGTCTCAAGTTCAGTGATATGCTATTTCAATAATTCAAGCTCAGATGATATGATCTATATATAACTAATACAATGTATATAAGCATTTAAAATAAAAAAATGTGTTTTTAGCTAGGACGTCTTAGCTAAAATTTGCTAAGAAAAATTTTTTATTACTATATGTGAAAAATAAATATAAATGTTCGAGACGTAGCCTAGAATACATATTATTTTTTGATAATTTTTTTGATTCTAGCCCTCTTGCTAGCTGAGGAACTATCAATACTAACCCTATACTTTAATAACCTAACAATAATACTTATTACCTTTTTCACGTTGCTTCGAAGTAATTCAGGATTTTCTTTAATAACAGACTTCATAAGATTGATCTGGTATTCGCTTTCACTCATAAAGTATATACCATCCAGAGTATATATAATAAAGTGCCACTCTGTATTTGTAATCACAATACCATAGATATAGTCAAAATAGTCATTCCTAAACACTTGATCTGCAGTCCGCTTCTTCTTATTTATCTAGAATACACTTTTAAGCTGGGCCAGATTCTAAAAAATAAATGTGTTAATATTGAATCTTCTAAAAAATACAGATCTGTGTAGTAGACGCACCTGCATATATCTGATCTTAATATTACGAGACTTTTCTTTAGTGATATATAAGAGATCTTCTAGAGCTTTAATTGCATAGTCAACTCAGCCGGTTGAATCTTCTCCTGAAATATTCTTCTATAATACTATAAATATATTTTGAAAGGTGAGTTTTTGGCAATGGCAATTAATACATATAATATAGCTGAGATAAATTTATAGCGCGTCACCTCGTTAGTATTAGTCATAATTTTCATGTTCGAAAGTTTTAAGATAATATTCTCTATATAGTGTTTGAATGCTTTATCATCATCACTAATCTCCTCAAAGACTACAGAGAAAAATAAAGTTAATATAGCTATCTAGTCAGTTTGAAAATTAATTAATTACCTATCAGAAGTAAACTGCTTGATGTTTGTTATATCTTTCCTATTGATCTTATTTCTATGTAACATTTCTTTCAAGTTATCAAGAGTCTTAAGCGAGGAATAATTTCATAACTTCTGACTGAGACCTTCAATAAATTTTGCTAGTGTTATTGCGAAATCAGCTTTCAAGCCATAACTTCGAAAATCCTCTTTAGTTGTATTAAGAGAGACAAGATCAGAAATTTCTTTTTTGCTTAAAATTTCGAAGTGGAACTCTTCTAGCTTCAAGTTTTTCTTTTTCAAATATTCAATAAGTTCCTTTGTATTAAAATCTTTAACCACATCTGACATTGTTCTAGTGAAAATTTCTTCCGTTATTGAGGCGGGTGAAGTGGGTGAAGAAGCTTGTGAAGACATGATTTTTATATGTGTGTATTTGTACTTGCGAAAAATATATACTTGATTGCAATTACAGGTAAAGCTAGTTTATAGATATAAAAGTATTTTTGGTTTCAGCATTCAGAGAGAAATGATTTATTTTTTTTTTGTATCGATTCATAATGTTTTTACCCAATATATATGCAATTAAGATGTAATACAGAATTATCAGACAATTATATTACATCATTACACATGACATTTTTCAAGATTTATGATAAGAACATAATATATTCTTTATTTAAAAAATAAAAAAAAACCTGCCAGAAGCTGGCCTACATTACATAAAAATTGCGAATATATCGTTACATGATACAGAAATTATTTAGAGTAAATAGTGAAATGGAAGTGCTCTGCTTTAAGTTTCTCAGTAAAAATATCAATAAAATCCTCATGCATATCCATTTCCATTTCAATAATGCTTCCGGCTTAAATTATACAAATTTTGAGAGGATTATATTAAATGGTGCTCTCAATCTACTTTGAATTACAATCTCATAATGATCACCTCTGCAAATTGTAATCAATTGCATTATTTTAATGCATGAAATATTCATAAGTTTGTCTATAGGAATGATAAGACAATTAATAGTAATGTTATTATCATCTATTTTGACTCCTAAATGCAAGAATCCAATAGTGAGAAAATTGCTTAGCCCACTCGCATTAAAGAACATATACTGTACATACCTTATTTTATATTATTTTTTACGGGAATGTTTTTTGCGGAAAGTTAGCTGAACTTTCACATACCCTTACACGCTTTATATCTGGCTGAAAAAAAAGTTAAGGAGGTATAAGACATAATTAATATTATCGTCTGATACCAAGAGCTTAATGAAAGCATATGTAATGGAATTCTCAAACCTTTTTACATGTAGATATAGCTCAGCAAAAATCTTCTGGACTAATGATGATCACTCTGAACTGGAAAAATCAATCATAGCTCAGTTGCATCATTTTCTTGCAATCACGGCATTCCTAAGGTTAAATCAGGAAAATGATCAGGCCAATCTGGTCTAATAACTATGAATTCACTAGGTATGCTTTTATCTTCTTACTATCATTAAAGATAATACACAAATTAACCTTTCCTAATATGGAATAGGATATATCCAAAGCCTCAATACTATTGCTTTTATCATGATATGTAATTTCTAATTTACCAATATGTTTTTAGCTAATATAATTTACATTAGCACTTGTGTCAAGCACTGCCTAGGTAGGGTCATTTTTTTCAACTGCATAATTTATAAAGATCATTTTATTATAACATATAATATTCAAATATAAAAAATAGATATCTATTTATCACTTCAGACTAGTTAGATCGGTAGAGTATTAGCATTCTGCTTGATCAGCTAGTATTCTATTAAAATAATTTCTTGGTAACCGTCTGTTAGATTGCCAGTATATCTGATCTAAAGCATGTGCTAAATTCTGATAGGCAGTACTAGCTTGTCTAAGATAATCACTGAATGTGAAAATAAGATCAGAGTTAGTCATATTATTGAAATTCTCAATATGGATATTTGGATTTAGCTGATCTACAGCTTCTTTGCTAATTTTATAACACCCTTCCAGATCAAGATACTTTAAATTAAGACATGAATAAATAATTTCTCCGATAATTACATCAGTAATTTCACAAAAGCTAAGGACGAGTTCTTAGAGCCTTAGGCAAGAACGAATAATACTAGAAATTAATATTCCAGTAATCTCTATGCGGTGAGAAATATTTAGATATTCTAATTTACAGCATGCATTTGCTAAAGCAAATAGACCTATATTAGTTATTATTCCAGCATGACTGCTTAAATACTTATCCTTTTCCAAATTAAGATGCTTCAGATTTGGGTATGATTCTGCTATTCGATTTAGTGCTTTATTACTATATCTTGTGTTTTTTCCAAAATCCAAATGAATTATATTTAGAAATAAGCATACAATATTATTGATTTTTTTATCAGAAAGTGGATAGTAGTATGAAATTTCAAGATGAGTTAGATTTAAGCTATAACTGGTTGTTTCTTTTTACATACTAATTTTATGAATTTTTTCAATTGAAAGGGATTCTTTGCACAATAATAGCCATTTCCCTTTAAGTCGATGCATTTTTATAGAATAGGAGCACTGCATCTATACCAAAGCTGGCAAACAAATAGAGTAAAATAGAGAAATTTATCTATCGCTAAAAAATGTAAAATCTGTTCTAATAGTTCTGGTAAATAAAAGATGCTTAATTGTGCCATAAATATTCTATTTTATATATTGTATCTTCAAACAAAAAAATAGCAAAGCACCTTTGGGAAAATTACGCGATCACTGCTTCAGCCTTTCCAGTATCTCATCTAATGCAAGTGCTTGTAAACCATCTATTAAAACTTTAATTTTATTTTTGGGTGATAATCCTTTTAATAATACACATTCATCAAGAGTTTATATATGGTGATTATTGTTAGAGATCATCAATTATAAGTAATACCCAATAATATACACATAGATATATTTAAAAAAATGCATTTACAAAGATCTGCATCTTGAAAAAATTGCTTAAATATTTATTTATAACAATTTATAACTGAGAAAATATTTTAAACTATAATTACAATAATCTACATTTTAAAAATTGTTTTAAATATACGATCAATTAAAAAATTGTTTTAAAATATAATAGCGATGATTTATATCCTAAAAAAATGTGACAATCTACATCTTAAATATAATAATAATCGATAAGTTAGAAAAGATACCTATTCATTAAAAATTGATTTTTCTTTATGAAATCTTGGGATAATATGAACAGCATGAGATATAAAATCTAATGGCATTACATTATATTCTTGCAGCATCCTTAACCGAGAGCAACCATAAATTTTTGTTGGCTCATAATCTCCTCTTTTTGGTTCATAGTAGTCGTACCATTTCACTATAGCAAAAGTGAAAGTTGCGATTCTGGACAAGCTATTAATAAATAATTCACCAAGCAACAATATCTAATTTTAAGATATAAAGAATTCTATAAGATAAGTATAAATAAAATTAATAAAAGTTAATATTATTATTTACTTTTCTAAAGCATGCTTCTTGATCAGTAGTATAATGGATAGTCTCATTTATATCTATTACAATTGCTATATCGCTGAACCATGGAATATTATTATATGATGCATCTACATAAATAATATCTGTAGATTGCAATATTGCACTCTTATACAGGTGTATAAAACTATCATCATTATCTATAGAAGTTATAGAAGCGTTATTCAGAAAAGTATCAAGAGAATCAATTAAGTTTTCCATTCTCTCGATTTGCAAAGAATTCATCGATCCTAATTACCAAAAAACTTGCAAGCGTTTTTCAAATGATGAAATATATACATCTTAAAGTTTATTTGATAGTATTTCACATTTTTGTATTTTTGTTTGTCCCATAGTCTCTAATAAGGATTTTTTCTGAATCTAAGTTAAGTACATAAATTTTTGTTAATTTTACTAAATTTTTTTAAAAAACAATCAACATTTCTTACTTTATTTAGGATCTGATTTATAATATTCTTTTTATTACTCTTTCTATAAGGATTTTTAATGTAGAACTTATGTAGAGTTTCATATATATCTGTTATGAATCCATTGATTGTTCCAAATTGACGAATTGTGAGAATCACATGATATCTCCAGGAATGTAACTTTGGTAAGCGCATATTGCTAGTATTAAACTGAGAGAATATCACCACAAATTCACAACTTCATTTTATAATTAAATCCTACAAAGAATAATATAGTTTTAATAAATTGAGTTATAGTATACAAGATTTCTAAGCAAGAATTTTATTAATATTTAATAAATCAGATATATACCTTAAATATGATCAGATTATTATCTGAAAAATCTTTTTTACGACTCATCAGGTACATTTGAACAAAAGACCAATATACTGAAGTTAATCGAACTGAAGATATAAACTGATTACCACTTTTTTGAATCTGTTGATCTTTCTTATCAAACAAACCATCAATAATCAAGATTATCACTTTATTACCATTCGATGCTCATCTACTGTTTGTACAACAGTTATTCCATTCTTAAAGATTTTCAATCCTGGAAACTTTGGAATTGCTGCAAGTCGATTGTTGAACTCTTCAATCACCTATTTTTCACACTGTTCTACTAACAGCTTTTGCGTATAATCCAATATATATCCAAAGAGATCCAGATCTAAATAGTGCATCCGATCAGGCAAAGTTACTTCATAGATATTTAGGCTCCTTTAACAAATGTAAGTAAAAAATATTAAAATTTTGATTTTGCAAATATTTCGACATATTTAATTTTTTACTTATGGAAATTTCCAGAAAATATTATATCGATCATGGATTGAATATTCATGAGCTTTTCCTTCTTGAATTACGGAAGCCATTGATTTAGGTGTTCGAATAATTACATCATCTTTTAAAAGATTCATATTATTTAAATTTTCAATATGTACAATACAATTAGGACACGGTCTTATACAATTAGATGATTTATAAGTAGATGTAATAGTATTAGCTTCTAGCATATCCGTAAGAAACATAGAGATTCTAAGAGAAAATGTAATTTATGCTCCATTAACAATTAGTTCCATTTCTTCAAGTTTTAGAATAAGGCGCAGCATAATATTCTAACATCGTTTCATAACTCTACGTGCAATTGTTCAAAAATAATTAGAATTTCTAGTTGCCAAATGTTTACTTCAAAGTATTGGTAAATATCCTAATAATACTTTAGCATTTTTTTTATTTCTTTGCCAAGAAGGAATGTTGCCCAAAGTAATAAAAATGGGATGTTGTTGAATTTTACCCAAATTGTTACAGAGAGTTGCATCAGAGTATAGTATTATTGATAATAATTAGCTTCCAAATTTTAACTCAAATTCTGCCTGTCGCTACCAATCACAATTATACTATTCAGCAAAAACCCAAGAAGAGCTACCATCCTATAAAATATATTAGATTAGATATATACAGTAAGTTATTTAACAAAGATAAGTATATTTACATGCCATATTTTTTTTTCTTTTTCTTCAAATTGAAAACATTGTCACAATGGTTTTGTGGCTTCAAATAAAATCTCAAAAGGGTAAATAAAACTAAGACAATTACTCAAGAAATCACGGGTGATGTTTCACAATAAAGTCAAAGAGTTATTTTCGATATAAATCACGTGAAGTAAACACAAAATAAACTCAAAGTTAACTCAAAGATATTTCAGAGATTACGCTTCAGAGACTCCAAGTCAATACAGC